TTCGAACGCCAACAATGAAACTCCGCCACCCTGTCGCAGGCTTCTCTCGTTCCTCAGATCGGAGCTTGGGGGGGGGGGGGGGGGCAAAGGGAATGGGATGGATCGGCGAAGAACGAGCTGAATCAGCATGGAGCTTGGATGCCGCTCAGATTCTATAGGCACTGCACCCCTCTCCCCTGCGCGCTCCGCGCGCCAGGGGCGGCGCTGAAGGCGCCGCCAGGGGTCCAGCGCAGACTGTCGGACATTGACCCCGCACTAGGAAATCCTCGTCTCAAGTTTAGCTTGAGACGCTATGTGGCTTGAGCCAAAATGGCTTGAGCCAAAATGGCTACGGACCGCCTCGGAGGCTATCTTGAGCTATCTTGACCCCATGCTGGGCCGTGTGGGGTGCATATTGGGGCCATCTTGGGCTCTCTTGAGGCCATCTTAGCGGTCTCACCCATCGTGGCCGTCTTGGAGGCCATCTAAGCACTCTTGGACCGGGATCGGGGGGTCCTGGAGCCCCGGTGCCGACATGGAGACAAATGGGGCCAGGCCCCCTCGGGGACCTGGAGCCCCTATATAGATGAAGAATCTGGGTGATGCACGCAGAGGTGGCAGCAGGATGGACCGAAAAGGGCACAGCGCACACGCATAAATAATGCAATGTCCACCGCGCAGGGCGGGACTCTGTGTGCCAGGCGTGGCCGTGCACGTGGCTTGTATGAGACACTCGACGTTCCCATCGACCTCAAACATGGTTAGGGAATTCCGAGCGTCGACAACACTGACCTACGCTGGCAAGAGGAACGTATACATCAGCCATCAGCGATGGCACCGACGGCATCCGACCAACGACCGCGAAATAAAAAGCCCAACGCAGCGCCACCGACTCCATGCAACAAACACAACATCATGTTTTCCCCAACTATCCTGTGAGTGTTGGGTCCTCGTTTTGAAGAGACAACGCCACACGTCCCCTTACGTCACCTCACCTCCCGCCCTCCTCCCCCTCCTCCCTCCTGCCCCATCCTTGCGTCTGCCCTCATCAGTATGTGTCTCCCCCACCCAGCACAATGTTTCGCAGCCGCATCGAAAGCTGCACAGAACGCTTCAATGGCTGCTCTCGCATGCGTTCCCAAAGGACGAGGAGGAGGAGGAGGAGGAGGAGGTGGACGAGCAGGAGGAGGAACTGGCATTCTTGTTGTTCGCACTGCTGGGCTCGTGGCCACAATGCGAGAGGCTGCGGCGCAACTCGCATGCTTGTGGCCCCAATCTGCATTACAAAGGACGAGGAAGAGGAGGAGGACGAGGAGGAGGAGGAGGAACAGGAGGAGGAGAAGGAGGCGGAGGAGGAGGAGGAGGAGGAGGAGGAGGAGGAGGAGGAGGAGGAGGAGGAAAAAGAGGAGCAGACGCGAATAGAGAACACAAGGCGAGCACACGCCACACTTCGACAGGGAACCCCCCTGCCCCCCCCCCCAACCCACCCCACTCCCTCCCACAGGGGGGGGGGAGCCAAGGTAGACGCAGCGCGGCCTGCACGAAACACCCCGGTAAAGCGACAGGGGAGGCCCCAATGCGGCCTGCACGAAACCCCCCGGTAAAGCGGCAAGGGGTTCTAAGCCGCTGGCGGCACCCGGTGCGGGCTGCACGAAACGCCCCGGTAGTGCACGAACCCCCCCGGTAGTGCTGGGGGGGGGGTCTCGTGCCACGGCCCACCGCCGACATACATAATATATATATATATTATATATATATATATATATATATAATATATATATATATTATATATATATATATATATATATAAATCTATATGTGTACATATATTTGTACATATATATATATATATATATGTATGTGAGTGGGAACTTATGGGGTTATTTGGCCTCTGTCTCTCTCTTTCTCTGTCCCTCTTTCTCTCCCTATCTCTCTCTCTCTCTCCCTCTCTTTTTTTTTTTTTTTCTCTCTCTCTCTCTCTTTTTCCCTCCCTCTCTCTCTCCCTCTCTCCGAAGAGGCACGAGAGCGGAAGAGCAACACTGGAATCGCTAAGAAGGGGTAGCGGAGAACGACGACGACGACGTTCTCGCTTTGTGCGATACAATCGAAGTACGAGTCTGCGTACCCAAATGGTGACCAAACGTCTCACACTACTACTGCTCTATGGGTGCAGCACGATGCGAATTCTGCCGGCAGGCTTTCTATATCCTCCTCATTTTTTGCCTCTGCTGTTCTTCAGATGGAATTCCTTTACAGCGTTCAACGCCTTCTGCTTTGACCAGTGATACCCCAAATGGTTTTCAACCCCGTTAGCCCATGCGTAAGCCCTGTATTTGCCGTTCTTCATCTGCGTGACGCCCCTGCTCCGCCGCTTCTTCATCGCAGCGACATCGAGGCCACGCTTCATCTTCGACAGAGCCTTAGCCGCTGCTGCAACTGATTTATAGCGCTTGTCCCATGATCCAATATATTGTGTAGTAGTCCCATTCCAAATACGCACCTGCCACGATTTCCCCACCTTCTGGATGTTTGCCCTCTGGTTCCGTTTGTTGGCTTTCACTGCTTTCTCTAATTTGTCTGCAGCGAGACATAAGAACACTACGAGGTCATGTATGCTAAACCAAGTGCCACTGTGCTTCCGGATGGCGCTGCATATATCTAGCGCTTCCTGAAAAGATTCCTTCGTCAAGCCAATGGTTTTAATCGCGTGTTTAGGGCCCGTACCCATACCTGTAACTGAGAGCTCCCAACAAGCAAGCGTAGGTGGAAGACGACGGTCCAAGAAGACAGAAATGAAACGCACCAAATGACGCCGCATATATTTTTGAAAGCCTCCATTCTCTGCCGATAAGCTGTACGGCCCCAAGATCAAAGGTGTAACTGCATCAACAGCAGCGAACGTAGGCTCGGCCATGTCAGCGATTACGTTACATGCCTTGAACAGCTGTTTCGAAAAAAGGCACTAGGTTCTCCCAGCATCTCACACCACCTGGGACCTGGTATGGAAAACTCGTAGCCCCCTCGTACGCAGTAGCGGCATCCAATCCATCCTGAAGCAAATCCTGCACCCGTGGCCACCAAGTACGACCAGAGATAGAAGGCAACGTCTGAAAATCCATGCTGTGCAGAACATGGACAGCGGCACTCCTATAATAAAGTCCATGTAGGAAGGACCCGGTGAAAATCTTGAATGCAGGACTCCCTGGCAGTCGCCGACAGGCGCTACGTAAAGCCACAAAGGCGTCCCGAACCTCCAAACAATTCAAATCTGGGTTGGCCTTCCATACCTTGACAACCAGTCCAATAGTCGCGGTTAAGCTGCCTTCGTTCTGAGCATGGGTCGAGGTTAAGCTGACGAGAAGAATCAGCAAGCGAACCATGTTCATCGGCGGCAACTTTCTGGAGAATTGGGCTGGATGTCTTGAGCTACATGGCACCGGGTATTGTTGTTTGTTTGTTTGTTTGTCGTGGTTTGTTTGTTTGTTGTTTGTCGTGTTTTGGTTGTTTGTTGTTTGTTTGTTTGTCGTGGTGTGTTTGTTTGTTGTCTGTCGTGGTTTATTTGTTTTTGTTTATGTGTGTGTCGTGGTCTGTTTGTCGTGATTTGTTTGTCGTGGTTTGTTTGTTTGTCGTGGTTTGTTTGTTGTCAGTGTTTTTCCGTTGTCGTGGATAGTTTGTCGTGGTTTGTCTGCCTGTTGTGGTTTGTATGTGGTCGTGGTGTGTTTGTTTGTCGTGGTTTGTTTGTTTTTGTTTTTTTGCTACCGTGGTTCTTTGTTTCTGTTGCAAGACGCCTCTGCACACAGGTTAAACAATACTAGCACGCATGGCAACGAACAAACAGAAACAAACAAACCACGACAAACAAGCCCACCACGACTACATGCAAACCACGACAATCAAACAAACCATGACAAACTATCCATGATAACGGAAACTAGCAGCGACAACAAACAAACCACGACAAACAAACAAACCACGACAACAAATAGAGTACGATATACGAAGAAACCACGTCTGAGGGCGGGGAGATCCTCAACCAGGTGTTCGAGGGCGCTCAGAACATCTGGGGGTCCAGCCTCCCTCCCTCCCTCAACCGATTCCCTCCTGCTCCTCCTCTTCCTCCTCCTCCCCCACTTCTCCGGACGCCCAGCCTCCCGCCCTCCCACCAACTGCCTCTTCCTTCTCCTCCTCCTCCTCCTCCTCCTCCTCCTCCTCCTCCTCCTCCTACTACAAACAAACCACGACAAACAAACGCACCGCGAGTACACACAAACCACGACGAGCAACCGCACCCGCGCGCGGCTCACGCGAATAAAACTCCCCCTTTTCCTCCTCAGTCTTCCTCCTCCGCCCCCCATCCTCCTTCCTCCTCCTCTTCCCTCCTCCCTTCCCCTCAGTCCTGCTCCCCCCCCCCCCGTGGGGCGGATGGTGATGACGACAAATATGGCGCAATGCGAATAGTGCATTTTTCTGCGAAGGGGAGCGCGCCGCACTTCCAAAGGCACACGTCGCACGCATCGGAGATCCGCTCAGCGGACTCGACGCTTTGTGAAGACAGTCCGCTTCATTTTTTTTTTGTTTTTTTGCATGTCTTTTTCACGACTACGCTGGCTGCAGGGCGCTTGCTGACGATCCTGCGGGGGACCCGCTTCGCCTTCAGCAGCGCTGCTGTCCTCAGCCGCTCGTCCCTCGATGGCAAAGTCGCTTAGGCTTGTGCTCCCCCACTGTCAGGCGTCAGCTCTTTTGCCCAGTCTGCCCATGAGCGTAGGGGAAAGTCCATCGTCGCCGCCGCAGCCGACAATATGGTTTTCTGGTCCAGCTGGCGCAGGCCGGGGGAGTACGCAGCAGCATTGTGCGAAATCAACTTGCCCAAACAGTTAACGTCCAACTGAAGCTGCAAAGTAGAGGCATACAGTTCGGGCTGATTTCGAAACCAAGCGTTCACCTCATGATGGAGGCTCTCGCTCTGAGCAGTCCCGGCGCTCAGTAGCGAACGGATAGAGCTCGGCGCAGCGTGTCTGCACCTCTGGTTGTTTAAATACCACTCGGCCCGACTGGCGGCGGCAGCGCGCCATATCACTTTCGCCGGCGTCTGGGAATTCACGTGGGTCTTGCGTTCGACCTCCGCCCAGAACAACGCGGTCAAAGATGCGAGGGCTGCGATGAACTCGAAGCGCGTCATATACGGTTTATTCGGGTCGATGCTGGCGTGAATACGCTGCGCCTCGGGCATGGGAAGCGTTCCGAACTCTACGTGGGCCCGTGCGTGCGCCTCTGGATGGGTCAGCTCTACGCCCCCATCACCGCGATGCGGCGGCCCCCAAGACCCTGCGTTGAAAGACGTGTCCACCTTGTTTAGCTTGTGCATGATAATTCTGAGGTGCTGCGAACCAGCTGTCCGCTTGCGGTAGTGCGCCTGGAGATGCACGATCACCAAGTGCACTGAGTCCAGGCAGAGGAACGTTAACTCAGGGAACACCCTCCGCAAGGTCGCGAACATCAGATTCGAAGGGTCATCTGAAAAGATTGCGACCACTTGCTGACGATAATCCTGGGGGAAGTGGCCGGCCAGAGCGTCGCTAACATGGTTGGTCGCCTCACTTCGGATTAACCGCATCCCGAGCACTGCACCCGTGCGACCTCGCGCTGTCAGGACCGACCGCTTGGCTTCCTCCTCGGGGAGCGCAGCGGCTTCTTTCTTCGCGCGGCTTGCCCTGTAGTTGGCTTGGCCTTTCAGGGACATTGCGACCCGCACCGCAGCGTCGATGGACATGTGTGTGAACTCGCTGTGCTCGCAACATTGCGTGATAAGCCTCTCCTTGGTGCCTTGCGCGTGCGGGGACGTCATGATGTCCTCAAGTACTGCTGCAGTCGTCTTTGGGTGTCTCGGGAAGAGATGCCAGAGGGGGTTGTGACCGCGGACGCACACCTGGACCAACCTGTCGCGGATGGGGCGCAAGCGGCCATGCTCCGTCAAGGAGAATTCCAAGAATAAGTTCGCGAAGCCCCGCGTGTAATATACGTTTCCCACCCGCCGTGCGTCCCGCCGAATGTCTTCACCTCCGTTGTAGAAAAAAGTCGGCCCAGTGTTGTCCAATAGGAAACAGAGATCTCTGTCAGTCGTCCTGTCGGTGCGCGTTGCCAGCGCATGCTCAGGAAAGCATCCGCGGATGATGCTGGCTGAATCCTGTAGGTAGGACGTCCTGGCGCGGCCTGACAGGCAGTCGTCCTCGAACAAAGCCGTGAGGGCCTTTAGCTGTCTGGCTCCCCCTGGTACGTACTTGGGCAAGTCAGCGTTGCGGTCGCCCAGCTCCTTGGGCCAGTGGTGCTTATCAAGGTGGTCCTTCAGCCGCTTGCGCAAGGTGCTCTGGCTCTTGTCGCCAACGGCCTTCCTCGGACACAACGGGCATCGCATCGAAGAGGTAGCATCACGCGCGCACGCGCACGGCGGCCGCGCAGAGATCTTCCTGTTGGAGAGGAACTGTTCGGTGACATGCCGGATCTCATCAGACAAGATCTTGGACAGCGCCTTGTGCACGTGCACCGCTGCCTCGTCGTTCTCGTCGGCCACGTCAGGGCAATCGACCCGCGCCTCTATCGGCTTACCCTCCTCCGAAAGATCGCACGCCGCAGCGCCCTGCGACGCCGCGGCGTCGCCGTCGGCACAGCGCTCGTCAGGTTGGTGGCCCGCGCCCCCTGCGCGAAGATCGAGCAGTCGAACTTGGCGTGGAGGAGTGGCGACATTGGGGTGCACCTCGAAGATGAGAATCATCTTCCTGTCCAGGCTGCCCGCAATGCGCTCCTGGTGGGAACAGAAAGAAAAGGGGCAATGTTTTAGGGGCGCTGACGCTCGCAGAGAATTTTTCTCGCGACGACTCTGCGACAGCAGGGAGGGGGCGGGGGCTGGCGCGCTGCGGCCAGTCCTTGAAGTCGTCGTGAGTCATCTGGAAGCTCTTGTCTGCATCAGTGATGACGACGTCGCCCGCAGTTACCTGCGTCGCCATGCAGTGAGGCATTCCCGACGTCTCGCAGTGAACGAGGTACTCCACCCCAGTGCTGAGTGCGTCTGGCGCGGCGAGGCGCAGACCCAGATGAAAATGTTCAGCGCGTATGCGATAAGACCGCGACTTTGTCATCGCCACGCCCTCGCTGGCCTCCGACGGCGTGTCCAACGATTCCAGGAAGGCCTGGGCGGCGTCAGCGCCGATGGAGAGGCGCGCCAAACAAAGCCCAATGCAGTTGCCAAGCTTGTAGAATATGTTGTGTAAACGAGGGGCATCGCCCGCGGGGCCACTGGAAACCCAGTTCTGGAAGCATCGATGGTTTTTGATCGCGAACTCGACGTGATACCCAGTCGCATCCTGTGCGTATTGCTCGCGCTCCCTCAAGAAAACCTCAGCGTCGGAAATGCCGATGGCGTACTCGTCTGGAGAAGTTGCGCGCGCGATAGAGCTCATCGTGTCTTGCTCCGCGCGGACTCCGTCGTAGTGCAAAGACATGTGGCCCTTGTTGTACTGTAAAAGGTATTCAACGAGATTATCCAATATGTAGTCCTCGCACCCCATCCACAAATGAGAAGCCACTCTCCTGTCTGGGTTCTCGACGTCGGCGTCGCCCTTCAATTGCTCGAAGACGCTGGGCAGAGCTGTTGCTGCTAGGCTTCGCCACCACCTCCCCACCTGCTTATGTCTCTGCAGGTATTCATTACCACTGAAGCGCGGCGGGATCTCCCCGCCCTCGAAGACCTGATTGAGGATCTCTCTGCCCACTACTTCCGGAACCCCCAGTGATCCTGTGCAAATGCGGCCGCGGTTGTACTGCAATTCCTTCAGGTGGGCTACCTCTGGTGCCCACGTCGCGCTGTCCGCGAGACCCAAGCGCCCGATAATCTGAGGAATTAAGCAGAACTTCGCGTTCTTCATGTCCACGTCGATAGTATGCGGTAGCGTCGCCACCTGCATGAGTCGCTGCATGTGCTGTGCCGCCGTGCCGCTGGCGTGCTTCCTGGATCTCCACTTACGAGTTCGCCTGTAATTGACCGTTTGCTTGTGCATGCCGGCGTCGGAACCCTTCGCTGCCAACCTTCTCCGTTTTGCCGGGGATCCCTCTTGCGATTCCCGCGATCGCGGCTCAGCCTCGCCACGCGCCCCCTCAGGGAGCAAAACTCGAGAAAAGTAACTGATGTGGCGCTCCAGTTCGATATATTTATCGAGTTGATCTTGGTAGTGGTGCAGAACGGCGGGGTCGTCGGTTTTCTCTGTGCCACCTCCCGCGGGCTTCGCCCCCGCGCGCTCCGCAGTGGACTCATCCTCTGTTTTTTCCGCGTCTTTCTTTCTGCCGCTGCCTTTCCCTCTACCCCTGCCTCCCCTGCCGCTAGGCCTACCTGCCTTGCCGCTCTTGGAGGGGAGAGAGTCGAGGTGTTGTATAAGCAGGCCGAGGTCCATCTCCCTCGCAATGCACCCGTGGAACACGCGCTTGAAATTTGTTGCATCGTGCCGCTCGGTGAAAGAGCTGAGGGGGTCGTCGGCCTTCAGGGGCGGGCGCAGCACGTCGGCGTCCTTGACGAGGGGCATGCGGGGAAGCAAGTGTCCCTCCGCACGCGGTGAAATTACATGTGGACTCCCCTTAAGGGATTGCCAGCACTTGGCTTTCGTGTACGTACCAGGTAAGCCAGGAGGAAGCCTCATGGCCACGAAGTACCCGTGCGTCAGGGCTTGAGCATTGCCAGGCAGTCTCTTGTCGCGGAAGAATTCCACGGAGTAATGCCAAGCAATCTTCTTGAGTTCGTTGGCGCCGTTGTCTTCGATCTCCTGGGGCGCCGTGACCACGGCCGACTCCAATGGTGAGCCGGTTTTGTCGCCGCCACTCCGCGGAGGAAGAGAGCAAGCTTGGCGTATGTATTTATCAGTTACTCCACTGTCCCCACCGCGCGTCGTGTACTCCTCCACGATGCGACTGCAATCCTTTTCCGAATTGTTCACGGATAAGACTTGCTGGATTCTGAGTCCAGCAACTGCCCCTCCAGGACTCGCCAGGAAATCTTTGGCATCTTCTTCTCGCTTGAAGATTCCGCACAAATCGTGGTCGGCGAGGTTGCGCTCCAAGAACAAAGGCTCGAATAACTTTGCGTAGATGCGAACAACGGCGCACCGCCTGAAGATAGACTCGTAATTCGTCTCGGTAGTGTCATCGAACTTGAACAGCCGATTGCACTCGATGCGCTTCCAGCCTATAACGTGGCACAGGCGAGTGATAATGGCGTACGGCAGCCGCCCTGAAATCCCTTCACCCGTCACAAACTTTTTGATGAGATCATCTCGCAAGGACTGCTTGTTGCCCGTGGGTTTCTCTTGCCCCGAGAAGATGAAACCCCCCATGGGCAGTTCCACGGTCTTCCGCAATTCGTCGTCGCTGTAGAAGACGTTCGGGTCGTAGTATCGGTGGCCCAGCGGGTGCGTGGCTGCCAGGTGCGCCGTGAACAGAGATAGCCCCACGCCTCCAGGCCCGAGGAAAAACGCAATCTGGTTGACGTTCCTCCCGCGTTTCGCAAGCTCGATGCAGGCCTAAACAAATTGAAATGCTTTAAAGTTTGCCCAAAAAGTTCTCTCGTATATACTCTGGCACCGAGCTACGTTCGCATCTAGGGTCGGGTCGGACCCCCCCAGAATACTCCACGGCGTGCCGTAGTATATGTTGTGGTCGGGGCTCCGTGAGTCGAGGTACTCCACGTTCCCAGCGGGGGTGTCGAAGAGGACGCAGCAGTCTTTGAAAGCGAACCCCTTGGCCCTAGGTTCGGGAGTGTCACACCATTCGCCGAAGTGGGGCCATAACGACTTGGAGCTCAGCTCCATTTGCATGCGCCCCGCCAATCTGGAAATATTCTTTGCCGTTGCTATGTGCCACAGATTATGACCAGACGTGTCTTCGCCACCCTCTCCCTCGTCGATGAGACCAGCAAGTGCACCGGCAAGATCATCTACCGCTTCAAGCTTGCCTTTGCCATCGTTGCCTTTCGGGGTCCTCTGCGCGCCCCCTTTGCCAGATCCCTTCAGCGCCTGCGCCGAGGCCCTGTTCCCCTTGTTATGGCAAGCGTTCGCCACGAAAGTTTGGAAAAGATCGCTCTCGCTCTCGGTTTTCTTGAAAATCTCAATAATATGTCCGAGAACGTCTTCGCCCCGCTGCCTCACAGGGGTGCCGAACTCGCGGAACATACCCTCCAGCTCCAGCATGCGTACGCGGATGTATATGTGGAAGGAGTCGGGGAGCAAGCCTTGATAAGCCTCCATGCTACCCAAGCGCTCGTTGTAATAATACGATTGGGAGTGGTGCGCGCGGAGACGGCGACCGCCGAATATGATCCACATCAGGTTGACGTGGTCTCGGATTGAAGAGTCCGTGGGGCGCAGGCTGTAGATGCTGAGCGCTGCCATGGCGAGACGACGCTTGCGGTCGCTCCAATGTTGGGTTCGCTCGTCTCCCTGCAGTTTTTCGCCCAGGGTTCTCGCCTCGTCCAAGATGCTCCCCACCGTCGGCTCCTCGAGCTTCTTCGCGTCCTTTGGCTTGGTCAGTCCGCTGCCGACGCCCTGCCATAGGGACGCGAACGCAGATTGCGACTCGCTGGCCCCTGGCAGCTCCGCGCGCCTGAGCACGGCTTCAGGCGCGGCCTTCCTCTCACGGACGCGGACGTAAGTCTGGAACAGCTCGAAGTGCTCGCGGCATTCCGCGCCCGCGCCGTCGCGAGTGGAGCAATGCCAAACAATAATCATGGGATCCTTGTTCCCGTCGTCTGCGGGAAACTCTGTCCGGAACTCATGGTTTATGGTCTCATATTTTTCGTCGTATACGTGTATTGCTCCACCAATGTACTTGGTGAAATACTTCAGGTCCGGCACTCCAGGGCAGTTCTCCGCGCCGTCCCCTTCTTCCAAACGGCTTGCAGTTGCTGCGTCGCCGCTGGCCCTGGCAACGGCGACAATGCACCCCTTGATCCTACGAGCGACAAGGATCTTGGTTTCCAGGGGCAGGGGCTTCCACTCGGCAGGCCCGACTGCTGCAGCTGCCACGACGTGGTACAAGCATAGACCGTCACTGGGGACCTTCAGAGGCGCGTTGTCTGCGAGGCGCGCAGCGCATCGCTGAAACTCTGTATCTGGACCAAAATCCAGGACAGGGCCGTTCGGCCTAATATTGTCCGATAGTATGATGTCATCTGTGTTATCGTCCTCGCCGCCAGCAGCGAGGTTCATGGAGAACGTGCCAGAGGCCCCCAGGATTCCATCGACGATCTTGTACCAGACCCCGTCACAGCGCGGCGCGCAGCGCGGCCGGGCCCTTCTTGAAATATGGGACCGCGTGCGAAAGGCTGTGCAGTGTGGCCCAGATATCTGTGGGTAGTCGCCGGGAGACCACGTGGCGGCTGCGGGGACCTGGGCTAGGATCTTCCCCCGCTGCTGCAACCAAGCGCAGGCCTCCACCACAGTGAATGGGCCAGACTGGCGGACGTCGATGGGGTAGCCGTGCTTGGCCAACGCATCGGGGACGCATGTGTTGACGTACTTGTTCGTCGACAGGTTTACGCACTCGGTCGCCAGTTCCCGCTTGGTCCTCCTGACACAAAAACGATGTATTGTGTTTTTAAATTATTAAATTCTGGGGAGGATTTAGCTTGTGGGAACACCGGCCTGGCGCATGTCTTGCGGAAGCGCCTCGCCAACCGACTCGACCGTTGTGACCGAGCGTGCGCTCGCCCATGGGCCGAGATGGTGATCTGCTTCTTCACCGCGCAGTCGTTGCAATCGTCCCTGTTCGGGGTCACGTTGTCATCAGAAGGCGCGCCCCTAGAATCAACCGCGCTGGATGAGCTCTGCGACGATCGGTGGAAAGCTTGTCTGGCCTGCCGCCTGGCTCTTTCCCATCCGGAAGGGTTGGAGCGGCTGACGTGGGTGATCCTGCAGTCGTAGACTATTTGTTTGAAGGTAACCCGCGCGGAGTCCCCGCCGAAACAGGCGCTCGGACCCACCACCTTCCCAATCATGCCGAATGCGTTGTCTGCGCCCGTCCAGTACACGGTGTCGTTCACGCGAAAGGGAGTGCCCCCACGATCTGCGAGAACCACTGGCTCGCATTCACACCACGAGTTCTCGTTCAACGACTCCGTGTCGCCAATTTCATCGTCGGCGGCAAACACGAACTCGTCGTCCAGGTCCCCGAGTCGGGCGATATCGGACACGTCGTTGTCCCCGATCCACCCAGGGCCTGAGCCAGCAGGCAAAACTTGATCGATCGATCATGCCGCGGAATCGTCGCACGTATCCAGATCGGTTCGATCGGCTATCTCACAGAACGTCTTCCCACATCGGAAAAGTATGAGGCCGCGGCAACTGCGGCTGTCTTTAGCCCAAGCGGTATCAACCTCGTCGGACAAGGTCTCGAAAAACCCACTGCTGTGGATGCGGAGTCCATGGGGGATGCCGTCGGTCGACCCGGGGAGCACCTTAATCCGAGGTCGTACGATATATCCCTATGGGCCGATCAGGGGACCAGTGACCACTCGTAGTGCTCAGATCACTACAGACTGCCCGATCACCTGTGTGACTGATCAGCGGTATACTGGGAAGTCGGCAACCATGGCGGCGAAGCCGCTAAGGAGTACGTGGTGACGAGGAAAGACGGGGGCGCCTCAACCTCGCTTGAGAGTAACAGCGGCGCTTGAGAGTAACGGCGGCGGCGAAGCCGCTAAGGAGTATGTGGTGACGAGGGGGGGCGGGGGCGCCTCAACCCCGCTTGAGTGTAACGGCGGCCTCTCTTGAGTGTAGCGGCGGCCTTCTTGAGTGTAACAAACCACGACAAACAAACAAACCACGAGTCCATGGGGGATGCCGTCGGTCGACCCGGGGAGCACCTTAATCCGAGGTCGTGCGATATATCCCTATGGGCCGATCAGGGGACCAGTGACCACTCGTAGTGCTCAGATCACTACAGACTGCCCGATCACCTGTGTGACTGATCAGCGGTGTACTGGGAGGTCGGCAACCATGGCGGCGAAGCCGCTATGGAGTACGTGGTGACGAGGAAAGACGGGGGCGCCTCAACCTCGCTTGAGAGTAACAGCGGCGCTTGAGAGTAACGGCGGCGGCGAAGCCGCTAAGGAGTATGTGGTGACGAGGGGGGGCGGGGGCGCCTCAACCCCGCTTGAGTGTAACGGCGGCCTCTCTTGAGTGTAGCGGCGGCCTTCTTGAGTGTAACAAACCACGACAAACAAACAGACCACGAGTCCATGGGGGATGCCGTCGGTCGACCCGGGGAGCACCTTAATCCGAGGTCGTGCGATATATCCCTATGGGCCGATCAGGGGACCAGTGACCACTCGTAGTGCTCAGATCACTACAGACTGCCCGATCACCTGTGTGACTGATCAGCGGTGTACTGGGAGGTCGGCAACCATGGCGGCGAAGCCGCTAAGGAGTACGTGGTGACGAGGAAAGACGGGGGCGCCTCAACCTCGCTTGAGAGTAACAGCGGCGCTTGAGAGCAACGGCGGCGGCGAAGCCGCTAAGGAGTACGTGGTGACGTGGGGGGGCGGGGGCGCCTCAACCCCGCTTGAGTGCAGCGGCGGCCTCTCTTGAGTGTAACGGCGGCCTTCTTGAGTGTAACAAACCACGACAAACAAACAAACCACGACAAACAAACAAACAACGACAACAAACAAACCACGACAACAAACAACAAGCGACAACAAACAAACCACGACAAGCAAACAAACCACGACAACAAGCAGGGCACGATTTACGAAGGAACCGCGTCTGAGGGCGGGGAGATCCTCAATCAGGTCTGCAAGGGCGTTCAGAACATCTGGGAGCCCAGCCTCCCTCCCCCCCTCAACCGATTCCCTCTTCCTCCTCCTCTTCCTCCTCCTCCTCCCTCTCTTCTCCGGATGCCCAGCCTCCCGCCCTCCCACAAACGACCTCTTTCGTCTCCTCCTCCTCCTCCTCCTCCTCCTCCTCCCACTGCGCGCAACTCACGCGAATAAAACGAATAGAACAAAGAAAACGAATGCAACGAATAAAACTGGTAAAACGAATAAAACGAATAAAACGGAATAAAACGAATAAAACGAATAAGACGAATAAAACAAATACAACGAATGAAGCTGCATAAAACGAATAAAGTGAATAAAATGAATAAAAACGAACAAAGCAAAATAAAACGAATAAAAAGAATAAAACGGAATAAAATGAATAAAACGAATAAAAAGTAGAAGCGGCAATTCATATGCCTTATTTGTCTTATTCGTTTTATTCGTTTTATTCGCTTCATTCGTTTTATTTGTATTATCCGTGTTATTCGTTCTATTCGCTTCATTCGTTTGTGGCTTTTATTGGTTTGATTGGTTTTATTTGTTTTATTTGTTTTATTCGTTTTGCGTTTTGCTCGTCTGATTCGCTTTATTCGTGCTATTGGTTTTTTCCCAACCATCCTGTGGTGTTGGGTCCTCGTTTTGAAGAGACAGCGCCCCGCGTCCACTCCTCCCGCTGCCCCTCCCCCTCCTCCTTGCGTTTCACCCACCCAGCACAGCGTTTCGTAGCCCCATAGGGAGCTCCACCGAAGGCCCCAGTGGCAGGGTTCGCATGGCGGCCTCGGGCCATTCGGCACACCCCTCACGAGGATCGTGGCCCATAGGGAGCTCCACCGAAGGCCCAGTGGCAGGGTTCGCATGGCGGCCTCGGGCCTTTCGGCACACCCCTCACCCCATAGGGAGCTCCACCGAAGGCCCCAGTGGCAGGGTTCGCATGGCGGCCTCGGGCCATTTCGGCACACCCCTCACGAGGATCGTGGCCCCATAGGGAGCTCCACCGAAGGCGCCAGTGGCAGGGTTCGCATGGCGGCCTCGGGCCATTTCGGCACACCCCTCACGAGGATCGTGGCCCCATAGGGAGCTCCACCGAAGGCGCCAGTGAGAGGGTTTGCATGGCGGCCTCGGGCCATTTCGGCACACCCCTCACGACGATCGTGGACCCATAAAGGGAGCTCCACCGAAGGCGCCAGTGGCAGGGTTCGCATGGCGGCCTCGGGCCATTTCGGCACACCCCTCACGAGGATCGTGGCCCCATAGGGAGCTCCACCGAAGGCCCAGTGGCAGGGTTCGCATGGCGGCCTCGGGCCATTTCGGCACACCCCTCACGAGGATCGTGGCCCCATAGGGAGCTCCACCGAAGGCCCCCAGTGGCAGGGTTCGCATGGCGGCCTCGGGCCATTTCGGCACACCCCTCACGAGGATCGTGGCCCCATAGGGAGCTCCACCGAAGGCGCCAGTGGCAGGGTTCGCATGGCGGCCTCGGGCCATTTCGGCACACCCCTCACGAGGATCGTGGACCCATAGGGAGCTCCACTGAAGGCGCCAGTGGCAGGGGTCGCATGGCGGCCTCGGGCCATTTCGGCACACCCCTCACGAGGATCGTGGCCCCGTAGGGAGCTCCACCGAAGGCGCCAGTGGCAGGGTTCGCATGGCGGCTCGGGCCATTTCGGCACACCCCTCACGAGGATCGTGGCCCCATAGGGAGCTCCACCGAAGGCCCAGTGGCAGGGTTCGCATGGCGGCCTCGGGCCATTTCGGCACACCCCTCACGAGGACCGTGGCCCCATGGAGCTCCACGGAAGGCGCCAGTGGCAGGGTTCGCATGGCGGCCCCGGGCCATTTCGGCACACCCCTCACGAGGATCGTGGCCCCATAGTTGTGCTGCTTCAACAACCGCGCCTGGGCGTCGTACTCCGCCTTGTCGACGTGCAACGCCACCTCCTCCCTCATGGCTCTCAAGGCCCTTTCCTGCTTCTGCTCCTCGGTGAGAGGGACGCCGTCCTTGTCGTCGTCGGCGCCCGCGAAGACGGCCACGAACGTGTCCCTGAGCATGTCGGGCTCCGGCGGGAAGCCGTGGCCACATAGGGAGCGCGGGCGAAGATGGTATTCACAATTGCGGTATTCACAATTGCATATGGTTGGGTCTTTCGCCCGGATAATTTTTCAGTTTTATTCGTTTTATTCGTTTGATCCATTTTACTAACTTTATTTGTTTTATTCGTCTGGTTCGCGTCTCCTCCTCCTCCTCTTCCTCTCCGGGGTCCAGCAACCCTTCCCCCTCGAACGACCTCTCCTCCTCCTCCTCCTCCTCCTCCTCCTCCTCTCCTCCTCCTCTCCCTCCCCCACCGCCTCCTTCTCCTCCTCCCACTGCGCGCGGCTCGCGCGAATAAAACGAATAAAACGAATAAAGCGGATAAGACGGAATAGAATTAATAAAACGAATAAAACGAATAGAACGATTAAAACGAATAAAATAAATAAAACGAATAAACAACGATACCAATGCAACAAACTAGAGCGAACACAACGAATAAAACCAATAAAAAGAATAACACGAATAAAACGAACAAAACGAATAAAACAAATAAAGCGGAATAGAAATAATAAGATGAATAAAACGAATACAACGAATAACACGGAATAAAATGAATAAAGCAAAAGGAAACACATAAAACGGAATAAAATGAATAAAACGAATAAAACAAATAAAACGAATAAAACGAATTGAGAGATCAAATAGTACAACAAA